GAATGCGTTTAAAACCAGACAGACCACAAGGTGTGCAGGCTTCAGATTATCATCTGTGCTGCATTTTCTCTTCCTCGGAGAGCCATTTAAATAGCGATGTAGAAATTCCTCTACTGGTTAAAGCCATACCTGACGTAAAATGCAGGATGCTCGGGTTTTTTTGCTTTTTTTTTAATGTATTATTTTCTTCCAAAGGTAATCCTAGACATTAGTCTTGCTTGAGACATCTCTTTTTGGGGGTATGGTTCGATCTTCAAGCCAGTGCAGTTTTTGGTGCATAAATCCGTTTGGCAGTGCGTATTAGCTTACCGAGCTTATTTCTCTCTACTTACCAACAACTTGTACTCTTTTTTGTCTTCTTTTCTTGTTTTATGTCTACTTACCTACAACTTGTATTCTTCTATTTGTGTCTCAGCTCCACAGCTTGGCTCTACACTGGGCCTTTAATGAATATTTCATTTATTTGGGTGATATATTGTGTGATATATCACTACCATAACACTGTGAAGTGGTGACTGAGTTGTGAGCCAGGAGAATTCATTCTCCACCTCAAGACCAGGTGTTACTTAGTCAGAGGCTCTTTCTCTCTTTTATATTTGATTGCTTTCTCCTTTGTTACAGGGTGGATTTTCCTGTTGGTAAACATTTTCAGTCTTCAGTCTAGTGCACTTTTAAAACTTGTTAATTAATGTGTTAGTACACAATGTACACACTGAGGCTGTCTTTTTTCCCCCCCCTAGCACTGTCTTCAGTTCCTGCTATGCACCTTCATGTAGTGTATTTGGGTATTTCTCGGTTTGCCTGTCCTATATACATTACTAGTGTTTTTATGCGCACACTGATTTTGAGATAGACCGTGGCCACATTCCCTGTGAATCTGTTGTCTATCTGCTCCTAATTCATACACTCAAGTACTTGCTTACTGAAGTTGCACAACTGAAATAATTAACTTGCTGGTTTTCAGGTCTTCATTTCATTGCATTTGCCCTGTTCTTTCTGCTTGCTTTCTTCTTCTGTGTGCTATAGCAACCTATACTTAGGATTTATTTTTTTTTAAATTTACTATTTTGCAAACACAACGGGAGCTGAAGAAGGGTGTATGAGTTGAGCAGTGCAGATGAGCGAGACTGTATAACTCCAGACAAGAGTAACTTAGTATTTGATGTCAGTGTACTAAAGCTTTGATTTTAATAAAATATTTACTAATGGCCACAAGAATTTGGGAGTGGGCTGTGGACATCTGAAGAAACATAGGTGGTTGCGCTGATGTACAAACATTGGTGACTCTACAGTAAATGGTAACCAGTAGTAAATACGTGCGGGTAATACATCTGTGTTACTTTAGATTCGCCTTATGTGTAATAATTGTCTAGCTTAATAAAACATTTAAATACATCCACTAAGTAGTCAAGGTAACTTTCGGCATTGTTATGGAAACTGCGTGGAAGTGGCTTCTGATGCTGATGTTTTATTCATCTGTTAGTTGAGTGCAAGGTTTCTTTAGTATGTTATCAATTTCTCATGCAAAGCTCATCTAGGAGGGAATTTATTACTTTTACAAGATGAGAACAGACAGCTGGGAATATTAAACCTTCATGTCTGGCTCAAGGACAGAAATGAAATTGTTTTATTCTGCCCAGAATGCTTAATATTTGTTCTTAAAGAAAGCCCATGATGACTATCCCCCTTTCAGTTCTGAGCATATATAAAGACACTGTATTATAAATATTCATTTAAGGGGAAATGATTGCTGGCATCTTTTTACTGTTCAGAGCCATGGTGTCCTTTTTACTTGAAGCTGCACAAATTTCTTGAATATAAACGTTTTGGCAGGTGTCATACCAAACTTTCTGAAACAAACCATCTTTGCTAGGCAGACAATAAATACGATCGGTTTCAAGTCAAGTGTTATTTCTCCCCGGTTCCTCTCCCCTTAAGGAATCAGATTTATGCTGAAAATTATAAATTTCATACAATAATTATCTAAGATGTAAATATTGATACAAGTTATTAAAAGATATAAAAACTACTAGGCCCAACCTTTTAAATAGTTCTTTTCTTGTAGAGGGTATTTTCTTGTCCTTTTAGAGAAAAGGATATGCATTCCATGTACATTGACCTGGAGTCAGTGAAGATCATTGCTTTTTGTAATGCAAATATCTTCTTCCTGGGAATTGACTTTTTGTTTTAAATTGCCTTCTCTCTTCCTGGGGCCAGTTGTTCAAACCAGCTTGAAATGAATGTCCCACTTCCTGTGTACAGACCTCAAGCTTTTGAAAATTACAAATGTGGAGTTGTATTTACCTTTGGAGATGATAAAAGGGAGTTTGTCGCTTGGAAATTATGATACATTGGAAGATGCTTTTTTGTAAACTTCTGAACAAATAAGCATGTACAATTTTCAAAAGCTTTGTTAATGTAGCGTGCAAAAAGCATAGTTTGACTTTATGTGATATGAAAGTGTGAGACTTGGCCAGTAATGTCCAGTTTAAAACAAAGAGCCTGTTTACGGAGTTTTTTTTTTTTTAATCTTCATGGAATAAGATGCTACTTGTATCAACAACTGGATTAACTAATTTATGGGAATTATGGATTTATTTTCTTTAGTGAAGAAGCCTTGCTCAAAAGCATAGCACTTGGGCAAAAATACATGTAGTTGTTTGTATATTGAAACACATTAATAGACAGGACTTGTGTGGTCTGATTTAAGTGTTAACAGACACTGTGATTCCAACCAGCCATCGTTCCTTTGCTGTGGGATTTAACACCCTGGACTACCTTTACAAATTGCTCCGATGCGACATACGTTTCAGTTACCTCTGATAAGATGTTCTGATTAAATAGGTTGTTGCAGGATCATTGCCTTTAACATTAGGGCTTAGTTCGAGATATCCTGGGGAATACTTGTGCTATCAGTTCTCTCAGTAGGCTTTTTACAGGTTTGGATTTTGATTTCGTTTAGCTGCTCATGTTTCTCACCTGGAGAATGTGTCCGAAGAGGAAATGAATAGGCTTCTGGGGATTGTATTGGATGTGGAGTATCTGTTCACCTGTGTCCACAAAGAAGAAGATGCAGACACCAAGCAAGTTTATTTCTACCTTTTCAAAGTAAGCTGAACTTGCGTGATAAGGTTTTTTACTCTCTCACACATAAGCCAATTTCATTGCTCCTCCTCACACATGTATGGACTTCATCTGGGGAGAGGTTTTCTTTTCTCTAGTGTGATGCTCTAGTGTGGGCGAGATGTTGTGGTATTTGCGATGTATCGTACCTTGTTCCAAAGGACATCCAGATGGTTCAGGAGCGGGCCTCGAGTCCCATCCATAAACACTGCATGCAACCACCTGCAAGCCTCAGCCTCTTCACTTCCACATTGGGAAAAGTCAGTTGACAGAGATGCTAACGTGGCTGCCTACACGGACACATTTCAAAGAAGATATGAAACAATTCACAGTAGAATTAAGTGGCTATAAATTCAGATGCCTAAGCAAACAAATGTATAGCCAGGAGATTTTCAACACTGCTTGCGGTGTTTTGTGCACCTGTGACTTCCATTGACCCTATGTATACAAATATGCTAATTTTTAAAAATCTGTGTGTTTTTAACAGCTTTTGAGGAAGTGCATTTTACAGATGGGAAAGCCTGTAGTAGAAGGATCTTTGGAAAGTCCCCCGTTTGAGAAACCTAGCATTGAACAGGTAAATTACCAACATGGGGGTTTGGTTAGTTTGGGCTTTTTTTTATTTGGTGTTTTTGGGTTTTTTTTGTTAGGTTTGGGTTTTGTTTTTTTTCTTCTTTCTTTTTTTTATAGGCAGTTTTTTTGTTATAGGCAGTTTGCAAATGTTTCTGTATGTTACTTAGTACAGAACAGGAGACTGTAGGAGCCTTCTGCTGCTGCTTCTCCTTTAGTGTTGGTACAATAGTTACATTATTTGACTTCTCCCATCGTTCATCTTATGCTTTAATGAAACTGACTTTTTTTTTGTGGTTTTAGAGAATGAACTTAAAATACTACTTTTATGTGTGGCAGTTCTTTCTTTGTTTCAGGTGATGAAAAATGCTGTTGAAGGTTTGAAATCCAATATTAAAATGACACTTGTCTTCTGTAAATCAATGAAAATGTTACAGTCCAATTCAGTGAGATCATAGCCTTCTCTTTCAGAGGGTGCACAACAAAAATCAAAGCCGAAACCAAAGAGTAACTGAGGCTTTTGTAACTCTCAATGGATAAAGAACATATGACAAGTTCAGATTTTGGTTAAGCAAGCTGCTGTGAATGCACTTTTGGCACACTCAATATGAGCGCAATGTTTTCCCATCAGTGTATGAATGGATGCTGTATTGTTAAACAGGACATTTTATATGTGAAGGCTGTTATGTGTAGTAATTATTTTCTTGCAACTCTCACTTCTTATCATTTAGGAAAATCGTAACACTTTATTGCTGAATTTCTGGGAAGTCTTCACCTTAAGTTCTCCCTTAGTTTGGGTGTAAACAAAGAATAAGCGTATGTAATCCTTATGCACTCCTAGTCCTTAAAATATACTATTAAAAAGGTTTTGTGCAATATAATTTTTTGTCACATTCTTCATACTGTTCAGTTTGCATAAGAAAGCACAGCGTAGAGCTGAAAGGGTAATTCTTGCAGTTTGTTTTGAAATAATTTACCCTTAAAATAGATGAATATTTTCAGCTCTGTTTTAGCAGTTCAGCAACTCAGTCACACAAAATTATTTGTTAAGCAGCACTATTATAATTGATTTCTAATATATATGTATTGCAGCACTTTTAGTACATTTTTAACTATCTTCAGTAGTGTTTTTTTTTTAAATTACTATATGAAGTGCAGTGAAATGACATACTTATGAAATACTGGCACTTCTTGAAGAAATAACATGATGGGTAGACACAAACTTAACTACAAGTCTGCAAGTCCTAGTCTACTGTTGAAAAGTGGCTGGGGAGGTTTTTTGGGGGATACTTGATTGCAGAGGAAGTAACTCGTGCAGCATGGTTATCAGCAGAATTGTGTATATGCGAGCATATAGAAGGCAGCCCCCTGCATCTTTTTTTATTCCCGGACAAAGTTTTTTACTTTGAAAAGCAAGGAAGAATAAAGAATTTTCCTTCTCCACCTTTAAGTCAGCTGCTGGGGGTGGATAGAATAAGAAAAACTGGATGTACCTGCTGCTGTCTACAGGGGAACCAGCTTGTGGCAGCTACATGAGTAGCTGAGCCAGGAGTTCATGGTCTCCGGTATTTGTTTCCTTTCCCATGTATTGCAAGTTCAGGGTTAATAAACATAAAGTGAGGAATGTTTGAGGACACTCCTGCAAAAATTATGGCTAAATAATTAAACATTGTTTTCTTCTGTTTGAAGGGTGTGAATAATTTTGTGCAGTACAAATTTAGCCACCTACCCTCAAAGGAAAGGCAAACGATAGTGGAACTGGCTAAAATGTTTCTGAATCGCATTAACTACTGGCACCTGGAGACACCTTCTCAGCGAAGACTAAGATCACCCAATGATGATATTGCGGGGTATAAAGTGAATTATACCAGGTAAGGCTGCTTTTGCTTGTTACAAGTCTTGCTTACAAATATGGCATGTACACACTTCAGGAGTACACCAGTACCTGTACGCCTTGTGAAATTTTGCAGTTGTGGAGTTTATATGAAAATCGGAGGATTTTCCTGAGACTATATCAGAGTTTCACATGCATCCTTGTGTTTTAAGAGGTGTGCTTTATCAACCAAGAACAGGGAGTAGAGGTAGCGAACATCTGTATCTAACAATGCTTTTGCATGTCCTGTGTTAGCAAAGTTCCTGTCAGTCATCTTAAGATATGAGCCTCCTGTAAGATCCTTATTTCATGTACTAAAAATTCGGGCAATGTGTTATTCAACTTAAAAAAAGAAAGAAAGAAGATAACATTAAGCATTGTGAAGTATCACAGTTTGAAAACAAATCATGGAAGATTTGAAAAATTAGAACAATTTTGTAAGTGCTTGAATGCTGGAGTGTGTATGGATATTACTAGGTTCCTTAAAATGATAGTTCTTGTTACGACCTTTTAATATGTTGTCAAGAATTCGAAGGAGTAACTTAGTCACTGGGGGAAGAAGAGCTAGGATAGAAAGCCAGGTCTTTTTAAATTCTGCTTTTCTATAACGATCGTGCAATGCCTTTTCCAGTTAGCACAGTGACAGCAGTTAAAATTCCTGCTGGTGCAGGCAACAGTTAATGTGCTGCCTGTGGGCGCAGGCAGCAGTTATCCCACTGTCCCTGTGGGCACACCTGGTCGCAGGAATGGCCAGGGAAGCTTTTCCTGGCTGAGGATGAGCACCGCCTTCCGCTGGCTTTCCTGGTGGCCTTTGCTCTGACTAACCTCAGCTTCATGAAGGAGAACAGCAAACCCTGGTGTGAGTTGAGACTGTGGCTGGTGATACCGCAGACTGTGCTGTGTCTGTGTCTGACGGGGATGCTCTCAGATGACCTGTCCCCTCAAATAACTACCTGGCGTAAAGGACAGTTACTGATAATCCACGAGGCTCCTAAGACCATGTTTGGTGGGTCTTTGACCTCCATTTGTTTGTGATGCAGATACCAGATAGACAGGGTTGGTTGGAGTCAGCTTTTATTAGGAATCAATAGCTAGCATTGGCTCTGGTTGGTGACTTTTGATGTTGATCGTTTTGTCACTTGTGGTTACTCAAACCTTCCTGCCCGCAGTCCCTGAGGTTCCCTCTGACCTATTCCATCTGATACAACCCGTCATTCTGAGCTTCTCCCCTCTGTGGTGTTTGAGGCACTGCATGGGGTGCAGAGAAAGCTGCTGCGCGCCAAGGATGCATCTTGTGAATTCTTGCAGTCACCGACTTAATTTGAAAACCTGAGGATTTTTATGAGACTATATCAGAGTTTCACATGCGTGCTTGTGTTTTGAGACGTGTGTTTTATCAGCCAAGAACAGGGAGTAGAGGTCTGCGAACAGCTGTATCTCACAACTCTTTTGCAACACTTGTGTTTGCAAAGATTAAGACACAAGAGTTTGGGAGAGCATTTTGAGACAGGCTGTACTTTGGGTCTGGATGAGAAAACCCATGCAGGATCCAGCACAGTCTGTTCGCATCCAGTTCTTGACATTTCCTTTTCATTGTTGGAGCTTTCATAATGGTTGTGGTCTGATTCTGCTAAAGCTACGTGTACCATTCACTTACAAGCAGATAGTGAGATCTTGTTTATAGAATTAACAGATATCATGACCTGCATAGTCAGTGTACTCTTGATTTACCTCTTCAGTACCATGATCCCTTTTTCAAGAAGAATAACACGACGTGTTACATTTTCATATGTACTTCTTAATGCAGAACTCATTACAGAGGGAGTTACTGGTCAATGAAAGAGTATTGAGTCAGGGTGTGATGGGAAGAAGCCAGCTGGTGGGAGAGCAGGGTGGGAGTCCGGTCAGATTGGGGTGGAGGTAGGTAGAAGTGTTGCCCCTTTTGCATCTATGTGGGGAAATGCAGAAGTTTAAAGAGGGGAAAATGTACCGGGCTCTGAGGGTCTTCGGAGTCTCAGGCAGGAGACGTGGGAGGCTGAATGAATGAGCTGTGGAGAGAATCCCTGACATCAACACGAATTTTATGTGATCTATGATTACTGTCTGGAACAAGAGCTCTTTGTGGAAACTAGACTGCAGAGAGAAAGAATATATGGAGACTTAAAAGTACTTGGCTGTCATTTCTTTAAAAAACTGGGCAATATAAATGCTGCTTAACTCTGTCCAGACTTGATGTAGAGCTGATTTATATGGTCATATAGCTCTCAGCTGGATTATAAATGATGTAGGCAGTGGTTTTATTGCATTAGTTCATATATTAGATGGTGATAATTATCTGGCTTTTTTCCCCCTTTACAGGTGGCTTTGTTATTGCAATGTCCCTCAGTTCTGTGACAGTCTACCTCGGTATGAAACCACCCAGGTTTTTGGTAGGACATTGCTTCGCTCTGTTTTTACTGTAATGAGACGGCAACTGCTGGAGCAGGCCAGGCAAGAAAAAGACAAGCTTCCTCAAGAGAAACGAACACTAATCCTCACCCATTTTCCAAAGTAAGGGGTTGTAACCTGCCTACATTCAGTGTTAACCAGTACTATGCAACTTTGGCATGGAAATGGAATAATTGCCTGTAGCTTAAAATCATTCCTCCTTTTATTCAGTACCAAGTAGATACTGCAGCTTTCTTTTCTGCCATAGCTTGAACCAGTGTATCTTATGTACACAACTGCTTGCTTTGCTTTGTCGTAGGACTTGACTTTACAAAAAGGATTATTCACCTCGCTGGAGGATTCTGCTTATTGCCTGTTAGCATGCATTGTTGGTCACTTACTTTCTTTTCTATAGTCCTTGGAAGCAACATAGGTCCAGATCTCCAAAAACACGTGCTCGCTTCTGCTTTTGTGATGGAGCAGTAAAAAGGGAGTGTTGTAGAGGAGTTTGTATACACCGCAGAATTTCAGTTTAACTCAACATTGTAATAGGGAACAAAGGAATCACCCCACCCCCAGTGGAAACGTGTTCATTTGACAAAGAAGAGAGTAGTCAGTATAAAGCTGCATCAGTGAATCCTAAACTCATGAATTTCATATTGACTACATGTTCCAGTACTGGAATATTGATGACGATATCTCACAATTAACAATAATTACATATGGGGATATGTGGGAGAATGACTTGTCTCGAAACATGCTCAACTTTGACAGTCCTTAATTTCAAACAGTTTACTGGTGTTAAGGGTGGTGGTGGTGATGACAGGATCATTCATTGTATGTTTCCTGTTAAAATAATGTATTGCTTCAAAAATATCCTTATTTTGTGAGGGTGGCTTGGTTCTCTAGCCCATATTTTAGAAGTCTGTCCCTCCTAGCAACAAAGGAACTGAACCTACAGGAGAGCTGGTCGCGCTGATGCTGTGCAAGCTACTGTCTGGGGCTAGCATTGGGTGAGTGCCCAGGGGAATGAAATAACAATAGGAGCTTTCCAAAGCTGAGTAGAGCCAGGATTTGTTGCTCCTACTATTATTAATAGTGCCTTTTACCACTTTGAAGAATGTAAACTGTCTCTGGGGTAGACTGTTATGGATACAGGAATGTTTGTGTATATCTGGGAATAGGATCATGATCTGGCGCTGAAATAGGTATAAAAAAGGATTTAACACCGCATTGATACAAGGAGCAGATTTGCGGAGGAAGGAGGTGCGTGTATGCCACTGTGTTTCCACTGCATTTTACATCCTAGATAAGTAATTTGAAAAGTGTTATTATTCACTGCAGTTCCTTTTAATATTCTGCTGGGGAAAAAAAAGAAAGACAAGCACTATTTGCTGATGATCTTTGGGAAACACGAATAGTGTTTTAAATCTTTTAGGGGCTGTACTTGTCTGAAGCATTTGTCTCTCTGCTGGCGTTAGGCAGAGTGAATCCTGCAGAGGAGCTGAGGCTGAGGGCACAGAGCTGCTGCCTGGCTTCAGTGCAGAGCTCCCGACTGCCCTGGCTGCTCCTTCCTGGGCAAAAGGAGCACCCACAGGTTGTGTCTGTGTCTACCTAGGAAATAGTCACCAAGGGGTCTGAACGCAGAGTCTCTGTGCTGCCTGTAAAGGTAGCCATGGCTGAAGTTTAATTTGTGCTTCTGCTCCATCACAGATGGTCCAGTAGCTGTTGCAAACTTTTTAGCCATTATCAGCTGTAGAGATAGCAGGAAACACCGTGCATTGCTGCGCTGAGGTATGAATGTCCCATGTATAAAATGCGAGAGGACTTGATCCTGAAAATCCTTATCCTGTTCAAGAAAGTCTTGCTCAGCAGTTCTGTTGGTTTCAGCTAGGCAGTTTCTATACATGTCAATGACTCTAGAGTAAAAATGTGCCATGTCAACTTCTGGTCTGAAAACCCCTTTTGTGCAACATAGGATATGCAGCTGTCTTGCTTCAGAAAGGCTCTGTGGAGGCAAGCCTGCTGGATAGTCTGATCTGTGGAATTTCTCTCACATATAATAATACCAAGAGAGGTTTAAAATCACTCTGTTTCTCTAAATGTACCGAAGTAAGATTAAAAATACTGTTATGCAAGCACAAACGTGCAATTAAATGTTACAGTAGCACACTTAAAGGAATGAAAATATCTTCCTTAGAGCATAGTTAATAACTAATGCTGGGATTTTATAAATCTGTAAGAGGCAAAAAGCAAGTGCATCTGCAAAACACCGGTTTATCAAAATAGACTTTTTTTGTCATCCTTGTATAACATGAGTACCGTGGCATCTGACAACTCATAACTTTCTTATTAGTGCACAGTTCTGCTCTGTAAAAGTAGTTTGTGACTGTTTCTTTCTGCATTTGCAAATTAGAGAAATATTGCTTATAACCAAAGATAAATCTTCATAGGTGAAAGCACTCTACTGAATTAAGATACTTAATGCCTACTCTGACTTGTGATTTTGTGTGTATTTGTGTTTGTTTTTTTTTTAAAGGAATCGGTCAACAGCATTTTCTTACTGAATCATTAAATATCTTTAAATTAAAAAAAGTTGCAAAGGCTTAATCTGAAAAAGAACCTGGTTTTAATGATCCTCTTAAGTTAATATTTCACCTGCTTTTGTGCCTAGGTTTCTGTCGATGCTGGAAGAAGAAGTGTACAGCCAGAATTCTCCCATTTGGGATCAAGATTTCATGGTGTCTAGTTCCCGAACTGGCCAGCTGGGAATCCAGACAGGTAATTCGCATTTAGTTATGGGTAAGGGAGCGCCTGAATATAAAGCTAAAGCTGTACAAGTGATGAATTCTAAGGAAGGAGACTTAGAGATGCAGCTTTATAAAGAGCAGGCTATACCAAAATCAGTCCGCCTCGAGTAAGCACAGGTGTCTGACACTCTGGTCCTGCCTCATATAAAGATCCCATTCTGGTGATGAAATCCAGCTAATTGAAGGTGCCGGTGGAGCAGGCTGGGTGCTGAGGCAAATCACCTGAGTATTCAAGCAGCGCAAGGGCACTTGGTGTGGGCAAGTGAGGATGGTCAGGGGGTGAATGGCTGGGGGGGGGCACCTG